TCAGTCAGCAGGACGTCAGCATTGAGGGCGGAAACGGTGTGCAGGACTCGCAGAGCGGCGCCTCGCAGCAGCAGTCCGAGTCCCTCTTCAGGAGGAAGAGCAGCCAGCAGTCGAGCGGCATCCTCAGCCAGCAGGTGATCGACGAGTCGGCCGCCGAGCAGTACAAGACCGAGAAGGAGACCAAGGTGGTGCTGCTGCCGTTGAAGACGCAGCGCATCATCGAAGAGGAAGTCCTGGTGCCACACAGCCAGGTCATCGAGACCAAGGTCGCCTTCAGCCCCAAGACCAACTCGAGGAGGGTCATCTCCTCGCAGATCATATCCACCACCCCGCAGAGCACTGTGTCGGAGTTCAGCAGCAGCAGCAGCAGTAGCAGCAGCAGCCAGTCGTCCAGTGAGGACGTGGTGCTGATCCCGAGGAAGCAGTCCTCCCGCCGCGTCGTCAAGGTGGTGAAGCAGGTCGTCCAGCAGGAGGAGCCCGCCCAGCTGCAGGCCCTGCAGCCCATCGACGATGAGCAGATCGTCGAGGCCGACAGCAGCAAGGACTTCGGCGCGAGGCTCAAGCCCAGGAGCGCCAGCAAGGATCTCCTCGCCCAGTAAAAGACTTTATGCGAATAAGGCTCCTCTTATTTGCACGAACGCAACGCGACGCACGACTCGACCGGAGACCAACAAAGGACCCGTCCACTCTTTCTCATCGCGACGGACATAGGATCGCATAAAGAAAGAAACCATAGCTCATCGACCAGCCGACCAAATGTGCGGTGAGAATGTAGCACAATTATTAAACTTGTGATCGTAAAAACGATTGACACAGACATACGACTGCGAGTGTAATGACAAGCAAACGTCGGACGCAACTTAACTGTCTTAACTTATATTAAGTTTTCCAATGTGATTTTTTTCGACATTTTTATCTCTTTCGATGAAAAAGATTATAAATAGTACGACGTACTTCGACCTTCGGCCTCTTTTGAGGGCCCCAGTCATACTGTAGTTACCCATTATTCATGTTTGTATATCTGTCGACTGTAAATGCGGCTGAATGCTGACTGACTTGTGATGTCTTTATGTTTCCTATGGAAATAGACTAATTTACCATAGAAGAAGCCGTTTCATTATGGTCCGTATATCGACCACCTGAACGGAATATGTCGAGTTTACCGTGGTTTAGCCACACTAGAACTGCTATTGTATCATAAGGACCTTCATGCCCTGTCTAATCTGTATTCTTATATCTTTGAATAAATGTCTTTTCAATGATACCTTTTGAGTTGTCTTTATCAAACGCCATTCATATTCCAAAAAAACAAAACAAAAAAAACCTGATCCATTTAAATGATCTAGAATAAACTGCAGGCGCGTCTAAGTAGACCACACCCGCCAATGATGTCATTCGTGTGGCCTCAAACACCATCAGGGCAATAGGTAACGTAACTCGGGTTCTCAGAGTTTCATCCTCTATAGTATCCGGCAGCCAAATCGCTAGTTTAATTAAATGACACTAAGTCTCAGAGAGGGGGAAAAAAGTAGTTCTGGATAGTTTGAAATGCGCGAGAGAGGTTGAAAGGGCAGCTGGGATTTATGTCCCACTGCCCAACAAGACTAGATAAAATAAGAGCAGTAGAGGTAGCCTAGGCCTAGAACATCCCAGCTGCCCATTCGGGAGGATAAAAAAAATATAGAAGAGTGAGATGGCTAGCTACTCAATAAAGTCCTGCCGCCAGGACGATGGGCACCGGGCCAGCGGCCCGCGATGGCACAAGGCTGTCCTCCTAGAGCAGCAGATGACACAAACACCTTATATTTATCCCGAGACGATTACTTTTGCCTGACCCGGAGTGCCTCCGCGATGCCAAAATGAAGAAGAACAGGAACTAACAGGCGTCAAGCGCGACCTTGGGGCCCGGGAGAATCTCCTAGACTTTTGGTCCGGGTTGGTCTAGGAGGTCGTGGTCCGGGCGGGCGATCCACGCACGCGGCCCGGGCGGCTCGGACCCATCCCATGAATTTATTGCTCTATTCCGGCGGGCGAGGTGTGCTATGGTTTTGTTTTAGACAACGGATGCCGAACAGTGATCCGCCTTAATGTGGTCAGCGGTTAAAGGCTGATTTAGCACGCACGAACATTTGTTTTGTTTCTTTTACAAACGGATCACGCCCCGTGGCCATGCAAAAGGAATGTGGGGCAGGTTATACACTGGGGAGCGGTAAAGCACATTCGGTAAAAGCCGAGGAATTAAAAATACCCGAAATCAAACTTGTGCATGGCTAGATCGACAGATCGAAATGGGATGAGAAAAACCTCCATCAGATTAAGGGGTCGGTGGGGCACTTCTCTCACTCCGTCCTCTGAGTTGAGGGCTGATAGTGGAAGATAAATCTTTAGTCAGCTGAGTTCGAATGAACTGCCATACACCCACCCCCATACCCTAACAATGACGTAATGGGTGCAGAACCCTCTAACAACAATAGTGGTATTACGCGATACGACGGTAGGGGAGATTTGATGGGAATTCCCTCTCGAGGGTCGTGACTCCGCCCACGAGCCAAAAAGGCGGCGGGGGGCGAGACCCCAACGACCGGGACGCAAAAAAAAGAAAGAATAATAAACAAAAACGACCCCCCAAAAAACGAGTAAAGGGAAAGCCCTGCGGTGTGCGGCGCTGCGCGATCCGCCCAGGGATGTGGGATGGGCGATGCGATGTCACAAATGTCAGTGGTCGGCCTTGCGCGGCCTTGCGGGCTCCTGCGCAGCGCGGCGGCGGCGGCGTGCCACTCCTGCTGCTGCTGCTGCTCCTCCGCAGCGTGGGGCACCCTGGCCGACCGGGCAGGGTCTCGGCGTCCTGCACCACTGTCCTCGTCGCATCCCATCGGACCCATCGGCGCCGGGGAGCGTCGCGTCGCGCTGGCGAGTGCGTAGGCAGAGGCGGGGCAGGCGGGGCCCGGCCGGGTGAGCGCCTGCCGCGCGGACCATAGGCAACCCATCCGACAGCCGTGCGGCGCGGTGCAGGCAGCGGCTCACGGGGCACGCAGGAGAATGACTTCGCTGGCATACTACAGTTTAGATGGCTGGAGCTGTTTGCCTAGCTAAGGCGGTTATCCAATTAGCGGATAGATAGATAGCTAGCCTTTATGTGGGATACTCTAGCTAACATAAGTTAGCATGGCTGCTGCTGCGATTAGTCTTTTTAGACAGTCCCTTGTGGTCTGTCTCTACCCGAAGGTAAAAGTTGCCAGTTTTGATAAAGATAGCCGATTAACGTTCCAGTTATAAGCCGATTGACGATGAGAATATAGATTTTCTTATGTGCTCTAGGGTTCGGTTTAGATCCTGGTCTTCAGCAGAGGAAATAATGTGAAGATCGCAGGGAGAGGCTGAGACATTTATTGTATAAAAATAAGGTTTGCCCCGTATAGCATAGAGAAATCCAGTGGTTCTAGGAACACAATATAAATAAAATGTTTTGAAAACACCACAAATGCACATATTCCATTTTACACACCACAACAAAATCACTTAAAGCTCTAAACTCACACTAAATTTTCCGTTGGCCCACTCACACATAGATAGTGATATTCAGCTCTTAACTTTCTCACATTTCGTTTTTGGGAAAGAAAACCTAATGAAGTCCACCTCTATATCAACAGTTTGTTTCTTGTGGAATCGGTAGGAGGCTGGCAGATCATACCTAAGTTCGGCCAAAACTTCACCTTTGGCACCCCACTTTTCTGCTTTGGACAGAACGTGATCCCGGGTAGATGTTTTGTGCAGGGAATACACAGCTGTACTTGCCATGTGCAGAGCCATCTGGAGAAATTCCATGTCAATACCCTTTCTTTTAGTTCCAAATGGAGGATTCATTATTACAGTATCAAACTGCTTTGGAAATGAATAGGAAGGAAACCCTTGTGTCAAATCACACAAAACAGCTTGACAGGTTGTTATCTGAAAAATTAAAATTTGCATATTAAAATCGAGATATATATATGTATTAGTAACATTAATTAAATAGTTAGTCTGTTTGACATACCTCCATTTCTGCACAGTTAGCATTCCAAATTTCCAGAGCATCCGGGTCCACATCATATCCTACAACAGTACCAGCACCAAGCATTGCTGCACCAAGGGAGAGTGCACCACACCCACAACCCAGGTCTGCAATTAGTTTATTCTCCACATCTCCATAGGATGCTTGCATTGTGTACAGCATGTGGGAAGCTATATGAGGTTTTGTTGGATACTGCTCCAATTCCACTTTAGGATTCTCAAACACCTCTATATCCTCCAGGTACTGCTCCAAATGTTTCCGCTTGATACATGCCATATTTGAGCACTATAAATTAAAATATAAAGGTTTTTAAGTTTAAAAGGGGTTTTTAAGTTTAACAGGCCAAGAGGTAAAAAACAGTTCGTTAAAGGTTACACCACGCAAATTGGCCTTATTTTGGATGGGCACTATCTACACGAGGGATAACAGGTAAGATATGGTTTCCAAAAGTGGAATCAGTAGTAATGTAAAAGGTATTAGAATTGGCCACAAGGTTTTGAGCATTCCTTTGCATAATACTCATTTGCTGTTGCTCTGGGGTCATAGATGGAGGTTGCTGTAATAATAGAAAATATATAATTTTGCTATCCCAATACATACCTAGATAACAACAATTGATTGAGACCAAAAAAATACTTACTGGCATAACAGGAGCATTGATTGCTGTAGGACTAAGAGTTGGGACTACACCTTGCTTTAAAAGCATTTGCTTCTTCAGAAGTAGGTCTTCAAGAATTTTGCGGTTTTGTACGTCTTTAATAAATAAGATATTTTTTTAGAAACAGAATCATGAAACCAATAACAGTGCAATATAAAAGTTTTATAAGAAAATACAAATTTAAACTGCGTAAATAGAAAATATGGATAATAATCAAATCGAACGATCCAATTTAAAAAATTGTTTATGTTATTCACTGACAGTGGTCCATAACCCACAAGTGTGCAGGCCGATTTTTAGGTTAAAGATAGCTGTACATACGAATCTTACCTTGACGAGAATTCGGTGGTTGAAAAGCCATGACACGAAACAAGGCGTGGTTTTACAGCATGTCTAGAATCAAATTACGACCTAGAATTGGGCAGGAAAAAAACAGCATCAGTACAAGAGTCCAAACTTTAACATTCCCAAGACTCCAGCAGAATGTAAAGAGATCCCCAGCACAACACACATCTATCTGGCAACAGCGCAGCTCGAGCGCCACCTAGCGATCATTTTCCAAGCAGAAACCCGACAACATCGCACGCGTCCCGCGGCTTCGGCTCTTTTGCTTCGGTCGCCTTCGGCTTTATCGCTGAAGCGCATGACGACAGCGGACATTGTTCTTCTCGGCGTGCCTGTTTCGTCATTCTAATTTCACCGGACTGTTTTCGCGAAATTGGGGTAATTTGCACTCTCAATGTATTCCTAAGTGACCCCTGTGTGTGCATTTGGGTTAAGTTGCTGTCAGCTCACGCCCCTTACGCCCTAATTCTGCGAGCGAAGAGGCGCGTATGCGACGCACGCCTCACTTCCCGTCTAGGCTAGCGGTAGCCATTTTCAGTATCTGCTTATCTTCAGTACTATTTACCGGAATTCTTTTTCAACATTTCAGTGAATGAGCTTTGCACTTTACTCCGGTCTATGTGAGACATTTATTTTATGTCTGTTTCTTTTTGTACTGCTGTGTCCACTGTAACCTACGCTCAAGCCCAAGGCCGAATGGTCATTGTTCTTAACCGGGGGCAACGCCTGCTTGGGTAGGGCATGACGCTCACCCGCACCGGTGTGACTGTGGCCTCTACTTTTGTGGAAAATACTTTGTAGTCCCGAAAGTTTGTTGGCAAGTCGGGTTTTGCGTGATTTAGTTCTCATGTATTCCTTGTTTCCTTACAACTTGTATAACTATTACTGTAAGATGTGGGGACGAAGTATGTTCTCATTGGTCTGGCTTTTGTCTACTAATGTGTTATTTGTTTGTTATGCAGGTAGATGACCCACTGGGTCAGCACAATGATTGATGCCCCCCTCAGCTCGGAGTTGGTGGGTCAAACCATCAACTTCCATGGTCCTCAACTCCAGAAGATATGGGAGGGGGAACGTGGAGAAGTCGACCTTCAAAACATGGCCATAAAGTCTGACTTCAATTCTTTCCAGCAGCGCCAGAAAACTCTAAAGTAAGAAGTTAATTTAATTCACTGAATGTAATGTCCTTATTTTTCTAATCATCTTTGAGCTAACTTAAACTTTTATCTTCTAGCTTCCAGGATAGAGGCAAACGACTGAAAGTCCAACAATTCATCGTTAGAAATGCCAACTCTCTATTCGACTTGTCGTTTACAGAGGGTCATTCTGAAGCACGTAAATTGCCTGGAGAAGAAGGTACACTGACATATTTAATTCTCTATTTTTTTTTAAAATTTCGAAAAATGTCTCATGTGTAGGCGTGTCCTAGCTCTTGTTAATCTAACTTTTTCTTTTATAGATTGCTATGCTGCCTTGCCTCCTTTTGAAACTTTCCTTTCCCTGGATCGAACAAGCAGAGTTCGCCACTTCTTTCAGGTAATAATTTGACTTGGTTTTATAACTGTCCCTGAGAACTTATCATATTGCACAAGTTGCACAATTTGGATTGGCTCTTACCATTTTTGTCTGTTTCCCCTTCAGAACTGTAAATTAGGCAATGTCGTCATTGGAACCATCTTATCCAAGACTGCAAATGGCCTCATGGTGAAAGTCCTTAGCATCGAAGATGGAGACAGAATACGATTTGTTGGTGATCTTCAAATTAAGGTTGGTTTTTGTGTACTAATTGTATTGTATTTCTTTTCACTTTGCTTGAATTTTATTCCTAAATCACCATAATTTGGGTTCCAGGCATTTTGTCCAGTGATAAACCTCATCCCAGCAGTTGACAAGAAAAAGGTGTCGCGCACATACTTGCTGAATGACGCTGTTTGCTGTGAAGTTATCGAGGTGGTGCCTGAGGCAGACAAGCTTGTCCTTGGCATGAAGGGGACAATGCTGCCTCCTGGTTCAGATCAGCACTCAAGACTTGGTCTTACCTTCACTGAAGATTTCCCTGATGTCTTTAGGTAAGTTCTCTCTTCATTTCCACAGGCCTTTGCTGAAAAAAGGATTAATTGTATGTGTCCCATTTGAGAACAACTCACATTTTATCATTTGAGAACTCACATTTGACATAAGACTGTCAACTTGGCTAGGTTGTATATCTCTTTCCAGGGTGACTCACAGTTGAATTTAGTTGATTTTTTGAAATGCTTGGTGTTCAGTCCCTAATGCATTAAAATTCCTAAATCTTTGGTTGCTTATATCTCAATTTTTATTAGTAATTTCTTAAATTTTTTAAACGTATCTCTGGAAAAAAAAAATCATGTGTTTGAATTTTGTTAGAATTACAATGTTGTTTTACAGCAAGTATGAAAAACTTATAAACCAACATTTTCCTACCATATTGGTGTAGTGTGGATAATAAGATCTCTATAAGAGATAGATGAGCACACAATGCAATGAAGCCTAAGTACTAAAGCTGTTGCTTGATATACTCCATTGTGAGAGGGCATTCAATATCCAGTCATGTTATTACAAGGGACACCATCATCCATGGCTGATATGAAACCTATTGCTTGTGCATGCACCAACCACAGTGCATCAAGCCCTATTACCAATTCTACTTAAAGCACATTTACAGTGAAAAAGGAGTGTTAGACAAAAAAAGAGTTATTATTGAAGGTAAGGCAACTTATGTTATATAAAGTTATTGTTTAAGTGCATATTTTCATCAAAGTCACACATTGCTAGATGACATTTAAAGTCCATTTTCTGGAGCACCTAATTTTTCTATTATGGCTGTTAGGAGTAGTTTAAATGAAGTGTTGTTCTGTATGGCCTCTTAAGTGTTCAGTGTCAAACGGTCAGTGGACTATTGCACTTTCCCAGTACTTTTGGGCAGTTAACTGAGGCTACTCCATTTTGCTGTTGTTGTCCTGCCTTTGGACCATCTTGTTCAGCAGTCATTTGATACCATATTTAGTGCCTTAACAATATTTTTTAGCTTGGCAACATGTTGCTATTGTCTTCTACACTACAGCTATTCATTTGGCTAACTCTACCAGGCCTGGTTAAATAAGGTGCCTGCTCAAAAACATTTTTTTAGAAAAATACACAATACACATGTATTGTATGAATTATATAGTTCTATAATTACTTTTTTATTTTTGTATCTGAAATGTCTGATCTTGCGTGTGCACAAGTATATACTAGTGTTTCTCTTTTCTGGATGTCAGTGGTATTGTTACAATTGAGATCAATGTTACAATAGTATTCTACTTGTCCCAACATTTTCAAGAATTATTATGCTCAAGCAGCATTATATTATGCCATCTAATTGCTCCTTCCAAATCAAGAACCATAATGTGCAAACTACATATGTCAATGAAGATATTTATTGGAAGAGAACTGTCTATGGAGCTTGTACACCATCACACAAATGGCTTGGACTGAAAGATGGCGTCGTTTCTCCTCCATTTTGTCCACGTTTTTTTCAGAAAATAGCAGATGTTCTCCGTCACTGAGTGGTGTTGATCTACTATCACTTCTCTGTACTAATGCTTGGATGCTTTTCCCACAGTGCGTCCAATAAATATTTGAGTGAGTGATAGAGGCCCTTGCCTATATGACGTTTTTGCCAATTATGAAGCAGTTCCGTCTAGTGGCATGGAGTTGATGTGTGCCATTATGCTAAAAAAATCTCTCCATTGAAGCTAGACTTCTCTGCAACTGCATGGCTCAAAATAAAACAAAGAAGGGTTATTCAGAAAGCCGTTACAGTCCTACACATTTATTTTTGATGTCTTCCCTGGATTGTTGTTATTTTTATGGAGGCAGATGATATCCAGACATGTGTTGATAAATCTGGAAAAATATATCTGATGGCGTTATTATATAACTGTTGGTAGACCGGAAGGTATGTATTCAGGTTGCACATTGTCTTGATTTCTTGAACAGTCGTTGGGGAGATCTCCCTTGATTGTCTGGACATTTTGTCCCTGTTCAAAGGTAATAATACTTGGAGGGAATTTTATTTCAATCCTCGGTTCCACTCATTTAATTAATTTGTGGCAATCATTGAGATTAGTTTTTATCTCAGTTGTGTACTAACACCTACCACACCTTACAGTGCAATATGTCTTAAGTTTTACGTTTCAGGGTTTTGCCAGTGAAGTTGCACAATATTTGTGCTGTTACAGTGTATATGTTTTAGTTTAGAACTTAATATCTTCATATCAAACTTGCCTGTTTTGTTTCCTGCTATGATCAGGTTCCTTTGGTTAATGTTACTTGTTCTTGCTGGGTATATATTGTGTACTGTGATCCAAACCCAAGTTTTTATGAAGCATTGTTACTCATTCTAAAGAATCATTTATCTGTTGGATTACATCCACTGTCCCTAATATAAGCCAAGCTAAAGCAAGTTTTGTGTAAGCTTTTAATTTTATTTTTATAGTAACCTAGAGCAATTTTATTTGCATGTATTTAAAACACAATGCATCAGCTGATGTTTGTGCGCTGTCAGTGAATAATTTATTCCGACGGCATGTTTTGAGCTTTGAGAAGCTACATTTACGGGGGAAAAATGTCAATGTACCCTAGTATCAAATTTCAGATCTCCTCTCTTGAGGCTCTTTTAATCAATGAAATATCTGTTATCTAATATTTTGATTTGGGCGATTTGATTATCCAGGCAGATTCATGATCACCACAATGAGTCATACGATGCCCTGTTGAAAAGCAATGTTGCTTTCAACAATCCTGGTAGCACGACTTATTTGGCTACTTCAATGGGTCTTCAAAACAAGAATTACTCTCACATTGGCGGCCTAAGGTACGGTGTGGTTGTTACTTGTTACTGAATTACTCTTTACGTCCAATAACTTGTTCAATCTACAACCAACTTCTTGATTTTACAGGGCTCGTTTTCCTGAGCCGGAGTATGCTTCTGAACTGCGGCAAGTTCAAGCAGGGAAGTGGGCCTTCCGCAGCGTCGCTGATGGTATAGAACACTTCAAAGCTGGCAGACACACCGAAGCCTTCCAGTGTCTCAACAAGGCTCTGAACATTGATCCACGTAATATAGAGGGCCTGGTTGCTCGTGGGGCATTGTAAGACATCTTTTTTTTGTGTGTTAGATTGTTTGTTTCAATCAATGTATATCATTTTCTAAAGTTGTCTTGTGTTTCTTTCCCACTTAGATATGCAAACAGTGGCAGCTTCAGCAAGGCGATTGAAGACTTCGAGGCCTCTTTAAAACTAAACCCTAATCACCAAAATGCCCGCAAGTACATGGGGGAAACATTGGTGGCTCTTGGAAGGAGGTGTGTAGATGTTCTCATTGCTCCGCCATGACAATTCCAGGACGTAGGCAAAGCTGGTGTGTAACATGTATAATTATTTTTCAGCTATGAAGATGACAACAAGTTGGATGAGGCCATGAACTCTTATGAGAAGTGCCTTTCAATTATGCCCTACCATGAAGAAGCCACCAACTCCATCCAGTTCATCAAAAAGAAGATGACTGATGTGTCAGGACTCCCAGGCATCACTCCAACCAAATCCCTTGAAATGAAGGAGACCCTGAAACAACTGCTGAAGGTTGATCAGGAGGAAGAAGAGGACAAGGATAAGCACAAGCGCAAGTCTAAGAAAAAGAAAGATCGCAAGTAAGTATTTGGTGTTCTGTTCTTCTATTAAGGGCTAGGTTTTTTATTGTCTACTGATGCTGAAATTAACCTACAGGTCTCGTAAGCGGCGTCATCGGTCAAGCTCTAGCAGCAGCTCATCTTCAAGTGACAGCTCCAGGAGTTCCTCTTCCTCTTCATCATCCTCGAGCTCTAGTTCTGGATCTTCCCACTCAGGATCATCTCGCTCCCGTTCACATTCGCGGAAAGACCGCAAGAAGAGAAGGAAGAGGTTTGTAACACACACACAGTGATACTACTTCTGAATCCCTAATTTCTCTACAATTTGGTACTAAAACACTTGTGTCTTATTGCAGCAAGAGCAAAAGCAAGGATGGTAGGGACAAGTCTTTGTCTCCATTCAGCAAACGAATGGCTATGATGGACAACCCTGAGGCAGATGGTAAGTTTATGTTCCCATAGATTTTACTTTGTCCCCAGGTCGTATTTGCAATTAAAAATTCATGTGGCTGGCGAATTTGATTTCCAAAGCATGACATTGTAGTTTGGTTGCCTTAAACCTTGACATCATTTACATAAAATGTATTTCATTGCATGTATTAGTTAAATTTTGGCCATGGGCACCAAGGACAGTTTAATCCTGAGCACATACTTAAAAGCATTGCAGGCAAGCATGAAGCATTGTAGGCAAGCATGTCATGTCACTGCTTCCTTGAGTTAGCTTTTTCTCAACCCAAGACTTGTGCTCTGTTTCTAAGAATAATTTATCATCCCCTTTTTCATGTGCCTACAGTACTCTGTTGATAAATCCAATTATGTGCTCAAGTGTCATTTAATGTTATTTGTCATTAGCTTAATCATTAGTTGCTTGTTATCTTTGGTGTTTGAAAATTCCTAGATTAGAAATCTAACCAAAGCTGTCTTTGTTTCTTAGACCATTTTTAGTGTGGCTATTCCATCTTTAACACCTCTGGCTTTTTTTGTTGCTAAACACAGGTTCTATGAGCCAGAAGATGCCTCAGTATAATGCACCACAACTATCAGCATATCCATATTATCCTACTGGTGAGTTGCATAGGGTGCATTTTTATCTGGCATATAGGACTTGCTCCGTTTCATGGCTTTTGTGCCTACCAATTCATTTTTAGCATATATGTAGTCCTTGTACCTAAATTTAATGGAACCAGATTAACTTTACTGTGTGTTCTCATGATCAATCTGTCTGGACTTCTTAGTTGCATGTTAGTTGGTCAGAAGGGTTACTTATATTACATGTGTATTGTGGGTGGAAGTGGGCCTTGGCCTAGCAGTCTCTATTTCATTTTGAGAGTCAAAGAGTCCTTTCGTTGTGCATGTATCAATTGTTCTAAGCCAGTCAAGCATGGCAGTTGCAAGTTATAACTACCTTTACAAACTAAACTGTTAGTGGTTTTCCCCTAATTTTCAATTTTGTACCTCACTCTTAGTCTTAATACGTTGGTTGGTTGAATTGTGTTTTTAACATATTGATTATTTCAGCCCAACAGAAAGAGTCCGATTATGAGCAGAAGGTACGCTCCTTCATTGAACAAACCAAAGGGGATGGTGATTATGAAGACAAGGTTCGCAAATTCTTGGAAGAAACTGCTCGCTGGTGGGTGTACAATTTATGTTGAAGATTGGTTGACGCTGGAGAAGTAGATTTTCTGAGTTTGGTATTAAATTCCTTATTTTATCACAGGAAAAAGGAGAAGAAGACCATGGATGATAAGGCTTCAAAGAAAAAGAAGAAGAAAGAAAAGAAATCTCACGACAAGGAAAAGAGTAAGTGGTGTTGAAGCTTCAACTTGCTTAATGCCTCTTGTCCAATGTCATTTTTACTAATTTCGACCATTTTCAGGCAAGAAAAAGAAGAAAGACAAGAAGCATAGAAAGAGTCGCTCTGGTGATAAAGATGGTGATAAGTTCAGTGATACTGAAATTGATGTGAGGAGGCGTGAAGTGGATGCAATGCTCCAGAGAAGAGTTGAAGCTGAGGAAGAGTTCTTGTATGGTGGACCAGCTAAAGAACCTGCTTCTCGAGAACCAGGCTCTGCTGAAAAGAATACTTTAAGGTGTGCTTTCAGATTTTCATTATCACGTCTGATCTTGTCAAGCAAAAGGTTAACTAACTGATTTGATTTTTAATTTTAGATTGCTGAATCTTGATGGCCTCAAAGGACTTGATGATCTTGAGTCCAAGCTGACTGCTTACTATGCAAAGGTTGAGAACACAGGTCTTTCCAAGAGGTAATGTCATGTTTTTATCTTCATTTTTTAAAATTTTTTTTTTTTGAAAAATAATTTCCATCAAATAGGCAATTTGCTAACCTTTTCTTAATTTTTTAGGCACAGCACTGGTTCCAAATCTGCAGAGAAGTCCAAAGACAAATCCAAGTCATCGCCTAAAGCAAGCAGAATTCTGGATGATAAAATGGATGACGATGATGATGACATGCACCTTCGCGACAGGTCACCATCACCACAAAGACCTATGATGTCTGGTTGGAAAATGCAAATACCATCTGTGGGCTCATCGTGAGTATCCTTGTTGAATATCACCTTTCTCATGTAAGCATTATTGTTGTATGTTGCCCTAACCCTCTTGTGTTCTGTTGTTTCAGGTTGAAGAAAAAGGAAAGCAAAATGGACACGAGCAAGGAGCACTGGGACGACGGTGATGAGCCTCAGTACAAGAACGACTCGAAGGGCGAAGAGGAGTTCAGCAAGAAGCGGCGCTCTTTCGGCATGGACAAGAGGGGCAAGATGGACGACAAGAACCGCGACGACTCTCCCGACATTCCCTCAAAGGAGGCCATCATGGAGCGCGGGCGCAGGAACCTGAGGCACCAGTCCCGCAGCCGGAGCCGCAGCCGCTCGTCCGACTCCGCCAAGCCGCCCATGAAGAAGGAGAAGAAGATGCGGTCGCGCTCGAGGTCCTCGAGCAGCCGGTCGCGCAGCCGGTCCCGCGGGCGCAAGTACAGCCGCGGCTCCAGCGCGTCCAGCTCGCGCTCGGCCGCCTCCTACAAGAAGGGCTCGCCGGCCGGCAAGAAGCCTGGCTCACCCGACAGGGAGCGTTACCGCTCGCGGTCGCGGTCGTACAAGGACTACCGCAGCTCTGCGTCGCGCTCTCGCAGCCGCTCGCACGACAGGCGCTCGTACTACTCGCGCAGCCGCTCGTACGACCGCAGCCGCTCTCGCTCCAGGGACTACCGCCGCAGCCGCTCTCCCGACCGGCGCCGCGACTACCACGGCAAGTACCAGGGCCGCTTCCCCAGGCAGCGTGGCACCTACTACAAGCCCAGGTTCCAGAACTACAAGAACCCGAGAGGCAACTTCCAGAGGGGTCGCGGCCGCGGCTACAACCCCAGGTTCCAGAACTACAGAGGGCGAGGCTTCATCCCCAGGGGCCGAGGCAGAGGCAGGTTCAACAACTTCAAGCCCGGCTACAACAACCGCGACAACTACCGCAGCTACGACAGGCGGAGGTCCTCTCGCGACAGGGACAGCGCCGACCGGGCCAGCAGCTACGAGGATGACCCCATGCGGAAGGTGAACGCCGAGAAGGACAGGATCAACAAGTACATTGAGGAGAGCGGTAGCAAAGATGACCCGGACAGGAGCAAGACTCCCAGGAGAAATGAACCGCTGAGCGAGGGAGAAGAGAGGGATGATGACGACTACCAGAGTCGCCAGGGAGCCTCTCCCGACGAGAACTTCCGCGGCAACCACTGGAAGAATGAAGGTAAATGGGCCGACAAGGAGAAGGAGTCGGAGGACAACCCAGAAGAGGTGGAAGACATGGACAAATTCTTCAGCAAAGTGAAGGCGTCCAAAGAACTGAAGGATAGAAAGTCTGCCACTAAGACTTGGCAATGAGGTTACCCTTTCCCTTATTTTAATCTTAGGTCAAAACTAGTTCCATTAAAAGAAAAAAAAAACTTAGTCTATGCATAGTTTTTCAAATGTACTCTGTACTGTATTTAGTACAGGGCTCTTTCATGTCTATCAAATCTCTTTTGTCATCTTTTTTTTTATTTTAGCACATTTGTTTGTATGTTTTCACTTTATTTCAATGCTTGTGTTCCTTTTTACATTTGATGGAAGAATAGTGGTCCAGTGCTGTGTGGGTCTTGGAAATCTGTCTATTCATTTTCTAAATGAACAGTATTAGTACATTTTGGGATTTCAACTAATTTTTAACATATCCTCTGTGGGATGTCTCCGCCAATGAATTTAACTATGTTGATGTGTATAATTTAGAAACTAGGCACAGTTTGTCTTATTTTATGGCAATTCAAAGAAATTGTGGGTGTAGAAGGTAGAGCTTTATTGCAATCACTGTGACTTGACTGCATTGAAACTCAATGTAAGTGTATTTGTTTAAGAAACCAGCATTTAATGTGAGTGACGAAGGTATAGATTTAGGGAACTTGAACTTCCTCTGTACTCTGATAGTAATAAAGGAACTTAAAAACCATACCTTTCAGTAACTTGATGCCTTTTCAAATCTTATACACATATGTATATATATATATTGGTCAAACAGTTCAGATCACTGCGACCCCACACAGTGGGAATGCAGTGAAGCACACAAGTATTTACAGAATCATCATCGAATAGACGTTATATCTAGCTTTGTACCTACTCAGCTATGCCTACCTCAATACGATCACATAGTGTTCAAATACTTATTATAGAAGGTCTTGTGTAGCAAGCAAAGTGTATGACACATTACCTGATGTCATTTTAGAAATGTCAAGGGTACTTTTTGCCAGGAAGCTTTCTTGAAACCTATGGTACAGTGCTTTTGTGCGTAACATTATCACACAATATCATTCAAACAATTTACACCATTTATAAAAATAAATACTTAAATTTCTGGTTAACAAAACATTAATTGTAGTACCAAACAGAAATCACTTATACTTTGTTGGAAGTTTTCTGGATGTGACATTTTGAGGTGGGATTTATTATGGCACCTTAGGAAGCCATTTCCACTGCCCACATGTGGCAGCACCACTTTCACTCTTCACAGTCAACCCAAAATGTTACAAAGAGTTATTATCTAGTTTTGTCCCACACTTATCTGTTCTTAAGAAAAGTGGGCATGGATGTAAGATACATTTAGGATAGTTTTCTGATGCATGGACGTAAAGGCTGCAAATCAGTGCATCTAATAAAATTTTAAGACAGGTGAAACACACATTTATTAAGAAAAAGATATCAAAAGAGTATAGAAGAATGTAGTATACTTATCACAGAGAGAATATTCCTCAGCGTTAGTTAATTACAGTCATTCAACAATTCACAATCTAAACCGCATATTGCACTTAACAGAAGAAATGCTGCATCACATATCACTCATGGAGAAAGGTAAGCTTTCTAAAACATAGTTATGTCCAGGAAGATAAAACATTTAAAATAAATTAAAATGCATCTATGAGTCATCTCGCGTAAACAGGTGACTAGATAGCCCTTTCAATGAAACAGTTTGAGGTGTATCTGTCTACAACACCCTCAGCCTGTAATAACATGACTGATGGCAGGCACACATTTCGACTTACATATCTATAAGGAGCACCCACTGAATGGTACTAATCTAATCTAATTCTTACAGCTTGTGGTAGAAATGTTTACCCTGATAAACCTAAGGATCACAATATTCTACCATGAATGAGGTAGGAACATAGCACACCGTGCTTTCAGGCGCACTCTTAAGAGATTGTTTAGCACACCCTGAAATCTTCAGTTTGATCCTGTGACGCGGTGGTCATTAGTAATAAGTTAGAGATATTGTGTTGCATCCTCAATTTTAAAAATTTGATACTGTCATTCTCATGTCACAAAAGTTTATGAAGGTTCACTTGTCATACTGTTCATCATAGCCCAAAGTAGACTTCATGTTTAAAAATTAAGGTCAATCACAATAGAAGTTGATAAAATTTCATAAAAAGTTCATCTAGCCATAGGCCATAGTTGATTCTTGTCAAACTGGTTGAGGTCGAGCACTTCCATTAGATGAGGCTGGTAATGACACTACTTTGCCATTTTGTCGTCTCCTGGCCGCTTTTCGTTTCTGAATTGGAGGTACTACGAAGAGCATCAACCCACTCAGGGCTAGTGTAACTCCAGCTAGCCAAAAGCTAGGCTTGTATGACTGGGTAATGTCAAACAACCATCCTGTCACAAAAAAAAATAATTGTTCCAGCATCAAAAATAAGATAAATAAATACTTCTACATGTATATGAATTGTTAATATATCTCACCTCCAATAGGTGGCCCCATAAATGAAGCAACACCTTGGAACAGCAGCAAGAGCCCAAACGCATTTGTCAATTTGTCAAGGCCAAGGAGGTCGACTAAAATTACTGATGTAAGACCAACATAAGCACCAATAGTGAATCCATAAACTGCAGCATACACAGCAAGTGAATAGTAGTCTTGGCAAACTACCACCAAGATTGTGGCTGAAAAATATAAAATAAATAAATAAATAACTCAATAAATAAATCAATAAATTTGAATGAGAGTAAATAAAGAAATTGCTGAAGTAAATCTCCAATTTATTTATTTTAAAATAAAAAAATTGAAACTGTTTCTTTAATAGGTACTTACCAAAACCAGATACAGAGAGTGAGACATTGTACACAAGAAGTCTGTTGACCCAAGGTTTATCAGCAGCGTAACCAAGTACAAGACGTCCAACCAGATTAGCAATACCAACAATTGAAATTAGTCCGCTAGCCCACTCAGTATCAATGTGGATTGATTCAGCATATGCCTGTGAAAACACAAAAAATTAAATAATATACGGCGTAACAGTTCTTTAATATTTTTCAAAGACATCTTGAATATTATAGTTTCAGTCACTAGGCAAGAATTACTTCCTACTAAGACTTACCTGTAAGTACGAGTAGGGCATGTAGAAACCTATTGATGTGAGGAAGTTGCTTACAGCAAACAGGAGGAAAATGACGTCTTTAAAAAGCGACATGTCTAACATTTCTGCCAGGGTGTCTTTGGTCTCAGGAGAACAGGGGATGCAGCCGCACACTGTGAGCTGGACATCAGAGTCGGGGCTCTCCACTTCCAGAGATGATCCCTTGGCGCCGCCAAGACCCTCCACACTCGTATGCCGAGAAAGCTTGCTAGCGGATCTGCGTGAGGGATAGGGGAAAACAAAAATGGATTAGTTTGCGTCTTGTGGGGACGATCGGTTGATCGGTTAATCCGCAACAAATCTTATCCAGATAAACAGACAACCCACATAGTCCATGCATAGACTTCCTACCCTACATGGACCAGACCAGGATGAAACTTGACACATTACAGAGTATTAGAAAACTGATGACACTATTTAAAATCCGTGTTAGTAAGTCACTAATGTTGCCCTTTCCCACCAGGTTTCTCTAGAACAACAGTTGTTAAGGTGCTAGAGGATGCAACTACACACACGAGACATGCGCCTCCAGTCGTCCCACTTCAGTCGTTATCGATGATCCTGGGCTGTTTGTTAGTAGTGTGCACGAGGCTGAAGCCCCAGTGGAACAGAAGAGTTGCAAACTTTGCTGCTCCCTAATGAGGTACAAATAATGATCCAGAAGACGAGGATGACTGCCACTACGCACACTCAGCAAGCGACCGGCCGAGGCGAGGGGGAGGGACTTCCCCAGCGCTGCAGCAGCCCCGCTATCCAGCCACCGGCCTCGCCACTACTCATATGGAGACTACAAGGTAAAACTGCGAAACATGAAGAGACGATCGTGCTGTGAAGGTTGCTCTAAAGGGCATGATGAAGACACGTAATAAACACATACCCACAACCCAGAACCGATACCCGAGTCCCCTCGAGGCGACCCAGACTCACGTCGTCAACGGGTCACGACCGTCCCCCTCGTCTACCGGCACACAGCCGCGCTCGGCGAGCCGCGCCGCAAGGTACGCGTCCACCTCGGCAAAGGCCATGTTGGCCGCGCCCAGGACGGCCTCGCTCTGCGGCCGCGACCGCATCCAGCGCGGGGACTGCGGCGCGCTGAAGGGTCCCTGCGCGGGCAACTCCCTGTCCGCCCTCGCGGAGCGCTCGCGCACCGAGGACGCGCGCACCGTGGACGCCTCGGAGGTTGAGGGGCTGGTGCCGCTGGGGCTGCAGGGGCGGCGAGAGAATCGTGAAGCCAAAACATCAACATAACAACACACTTGACAAAAGGAGAACGGTGGCGCCAGAGGAGGAAGCAGACAATCGGCGCGCAGGCAGCTAGCTTTGGCTCGCCGCCGTCGAGCCTGAAATACAACTTTTGGCAATTATACGTATTCGAGGACTCGAGTTTCAGCTTCCACACACCGACTGGAAAATAAACGAATTACTCATATTCAAGTCAGACAGCGGCTGAAGTACGGGGATGCCTCGATCCTCACCTGTAGTGAGGGATGTTGACGAGCGAGCCGCGGTAGAAGATGTCCTTGCGGTACATGACGCCAGAGCCGGCCAGGTGCTGCACGGAGCCCGTGGTGGTCTGCAGCGTGGGCTGCGACAGCGCCCAGCGCGCGATGTCCCGGTCGCCCTTGTGCCGCCACGAGTGCTGGTGGTTGTGGTGCTGGTGGTAGTTGTTGTGGTGGTTGTTGTGGTGGTGGTGGTTGTGGTGACCAGACGACAGTATCTGCGGGGTCACAAAAGTGTAATTAGAAGGAGGTGTGGTCGACTAAGCGGGATGCACCCCGGTGGTACACGTTGTGCCTCTATGGACTTGAAATACTTAGGAAATCCCTACCGGGTGCGGCGTGCTGCTCAGGTTGAGGCTGAGGACCTTGACGTTGCGGGGCATGGTGCTGGGTTCCGACTGGTCGTCCTGGACGGCCGTGGGGATGTTGTGCGCCGAGCGCACCACGGTCTGCGGCTGCTGCACCATGAGCTGGTTGGCCTGCTCCTCCTTGGAGAGGTCGCCGTTGAGCAGCATCTTGAGCTCGGACTTCTCGCTGGGCAGCTCCTTGAGCTCGGTGCTCGGCGGCCGCTTGGGCTTCTCCAGCGGCCTCATGAGCGCGCCCATGATGGCCGTGTTGAGGGCCAGGCCGGCCAGGATCAGCACCGTGCCCTGCCACGAGCCGTACACCTTCATCAGGTAGGTGATGAAGGGCGCAAAGATGAAGGTGCCCAGGCCCGAGCCCGCCACCGCGATGCCGGTGGCCAGCGAGCGGTACCTCTCGAAGTAGCACGTCACCGAGACGATGGCCGGCAGGTAGATGAGGCCGAAGCCGAAGCCTGGAAAGGTTTGACAGTCCAGTCAGAAACAAAAGTTGACGAGAAGAGGAACCAGATGAAGCCGAGCCATATTGTATACTGACCCGTGCCCACGCCGATGGTCAGGTAGAGCGTGGCAATGTTGGTGGCCAGGAAGCTGAGCGCGAGGCACAACCCGGACAGGATGGCGCCGGCGATGGTCACGGGCCGACATCCCCATTTGTTGACGAAGGCTGATGCGATGGGTCCTGTGCGCAGGCAGCGAGAAAACGAACATGTATCACGAAAGTTCAATCAAACACTAGTAGTATCGTGCCTTTGTGCGTCATCGCGGAAAAGGCGACCCACCTGAGCAAAGGGTGATGCCGAACAGGAGGGCTGAGACGAGGGCGGTGGCGCCCTCACCGGCTTCGAAGTGTTCCACCAGCTTCCTCTGCACCACGCCGAACGAGTACGTCACTCCGTCAGCTGGAAGATAAGAAAACAGCCACATTATTTACCACGCCGAGGAGAGGATGCCGGTCGCGTAGAGCAGGAAGTTCACCCTCAAGGACGCGACCTACGTCCGCGGCGGACAGGGGCGAAAATTCAGAGATTATTGTCATAATATGTCACTGCCAGCCTGGGGCTGGCTGGAGCCGCAGCTCGGGCGGAGCAGAGAAACTCGTGGTCTCTCCAAAAAGTAATGCAATTCTTGTTTGCATAATACATTTTCACGGAGTACCGAAAAGGCACGGCGACGGCGGCGGCGGGCGCCTGCTGGCTGACAAGACCCAAGGCCGCGCCTGGCCCACCGAGGCTTAGTATCGTGGTGGGGCCGCCTGTCCTTGGCGGGGCGGGGCCGGCCCCCACCCACACCGGCCCCCGGCGCCCACCGGCGGCGCCTCTGCTGAGCCGGTCCCCCCCCCCCCCAATCGTAGCTCACAATATCCTGGCCAGGGACGCAGGAAGGTCCGGGCGAGTGGCGAGTAGCTCACATCGACGTGCGATGATTTGCAATCGACTTGCACAGCCAAGAAAACGCGCTGTAAGATTTTAAATGACCGAGCAGTTTATCGACGCCCCCTATCGTCACCTCATTTAAGCCGGTCTCTCCCCCCCCCCACGTGCCCGGCGCGTGCCACGGGGCGGGCGGGCGCCTGGGCGGTGCGTGGCGAGGCGTGGCGTGGCGTGGCGTGGCGAGGCGTCCTCCGAGGAACGCATCGCGTCTGGCCGTGCAGCGGGCGCGACGCCGACGCGCCGCCCCGGCCCAGCTAAATTTACATCGACGCGCGGCACAAGCGGGCCGAAATGTAGGTGTGGGGAGTGAGAAGGAGGGGGGGGGGGATAGTGCAGGCTGGGTGGCTCTTCAGTGAAGTCCTTTCCCCACTTGTAACCCTCGGTGGATAAGGTCGCCGTCTCGTCCTCGTCCCCGCTCATCTGTCGTGCTAGT